GAGTAGTTTTGACCCAGAAAGTGAAATTTGAATATCAGACACTTAGGTGCAAGATTATGCCAAAATGTAATGTTTTCCGTCCCGTTTTTGCTCATATCTCGGAGGCAAAACAAGCAAGAACGCTCATTTGTACAACATTCTAGACAGAAATGAATGGCGTTTTTAGAAAGTGAACCATGGATGGGGAATTGTTGGCAGATTTCTCAAAAAATGCTTGAATTCAAGAAGTTTTAGATTTGCGTGGTCTTCTTTGAGTTAATGTTTTCTTTGAGAAATGAATTCAGCTTCTATTCTCCTCACCATCTTATGCGCCCTAGCTTACTAATGAGCTTTAGCAAATAATTGAGCTGCTTCTATTTGGGTACTTGTTCGATCACCCAACCCAACAATGCATAGAATTTCAATTTTTATACATACTTATGGAGAATTCAACATTGAATCAAGAAATAGATGCTTCCATTGCAAAAAAATGAGGTTGATGGTCGTAACTTATCGTTGGACCAGTTTGTATGAATAAATTTTGGCATTTCCGAACAAAAATTGACAATCCCGAGAGGGCTGATTTCTAAAAGAATGTCCACGTTGCTTCTGGGACCCGCTATAAGCTAAAGTATCCTGCGCTGACTAAAACGTGCTTTATTTGCTATTTTTCATGAAGACTTCCAGCTTTCAACCCAGCCCCATGCGTGCTCGAAGTCCACAATTTAACACCATCGGCAACGAGCCCCGAAATTTGCAATTCGATGGCGAAAATCGCGCACCTTCCTTCCTTATGTGACATTCAATCGGGGACCCTTTCTTTCCGGGCCCTACCAAACCGCCGCCCCCCGCCGACTTTTTCGACTGTCCCATAAACATTTTAATGAACTACCTCATCTCGTATTGGATCCGAACTCTGTTTTAATAGACTCCACTTTATAGAGTCGACTCTATTGTGTTATTCCACCATCGGTGACATTGATACAGCTGCTGCTCCATTCAGTGTCGTGCGCTGCAAACTTGCCCGATTCAGCCGACTATTATTCTGATTTGTTTGGATTGTAATCACTTACAGAAGCTGAGGAAGATTCCACATATATTTCTATTAATTTGCCAGTTTTTACCAACTAAACTAGTCAAATCAGTTTTGCCAGAGAAAATGTAGATGATTCTAAAAACGTCCAAAATTGTTTGTTTATTTGAAGCCAACTGATTCTTCTGAGAAAGGGAAAGTTGCGGCATCTGAACTTATACTTTCAAGCATGGAAAAGCATTCTGTGCCCTCAAATCTTTGAAGCACCCCAACATTAAATAAATGGAATCCAAAATTCCTTTTTAACATCGAAATCTGATGTTGTGAAGCGAAATTGAGCATCGATGTTCCCAACGAGTCCTCGAGTCACGCCACTGAAATTTCACCTACAAAATTTACATGCATTGTTACTCCGATGCCCATCGACTTATAAAGGGGGGCCACTAAGACATTTTTTCAGTGAGTTTATCGCCCTTAATCGGCTGACTTCTTCATTGGAAAGCGCAATGATGAGGAAAAGTTCGGTGGGGAACTTAGAAAAATTGCACAAAATCCAGTTGAAAACACTACTCCTGCACACACATTAGACAAGAACGGTCAAGATCTAGCAACTATATTTAATGCGTGGGATAATTCAGTAATCCAGAAGACTTCAGTAGAATATTCCTCAACGAAATTATCACCCCCCGGAGTAAATTTTAGACGTCTAAGGGCCGATCCTCAACAACCGGTAGTGGTAGCAAATATTTGCCGTATTGAAGTGTCAACTATTGTAGTTCGCCCATTGTTCGGCCCTTAGATTTGTTGCTCGAAACTGCTTATGACAACATACTGTAGTGGGACAGTGTGTCGAGGGGATTTCGGTACCTTTTCGGGGGATTACAAACTTAATCTTGTTTAAATGGGACCGCTCGTAAATGGGATTTAATTTAATTGGGGTTCAAGTGCTTTCTATGGGCTGCCAAGTGCCAAATTAGCAGGAGTTTGATAAATATTTTTCCGTTCATTGTGAATAAAACCCGAAAATTATCATTGTTTTTATCATGGTGATTTTTGAAAAATGTGCGCACTTTGGAACCATCAAGAACTAGTTTTCCTGTTTGCGGATTTTCCAGCAAACTGTCCAAATTGATTCCAGTTAACACAATTTTCTGAAACTGTGGCCTGCGAAAAGGCAAATATCTTCTTTCGTCTTTTCCGGTTGAAAGTGGAAGTTTCGAAAAAACTCAAATGTTAAATGAACTCAAAGGATGAAGTTTTTGGAAACTATGCGCCGCTATAGAAGAAAGTGCGCCTTTACAGTTAGGCAACACTCTCACGTCTCTATCTCCTCCAGTTTTGGAGCATGTGGTTATTTTCGTTTGCCTCTTTACGCAACAAGAGGCGATTTGAGAAAACACGTTCCGAGATGATCCTGAAGAGCGAGTTTTTAGGAAATTGACGCCCTTTTTGAGGGAAACTAGCTCTGTGCTGTAGAATGCGTTTTTTGAATATTCAGAGAAAAACCGTGAATATTTTCATTATTTCAGCTCTGTTAGCATGTAAAATAAAGCAAAGAGACATTGAACATTTTTGGGAATTTTTCTTGGTTTTCCCCAGAAGCAGAGTGGGTTGGAAAACCCATAAAATATTTTAAAATTAAAGTTCAGATAACCCTGAACAATCACGTAAGAGATTGAAAGTTAGGAGGCAGAAGTGCAGAAGAAACGAATAAAATTGTAAACACCATATGCATTTATCAGTTAGTTGGATTATTTGGCTTGAGCTTATCCTAATCATCTCTTGCAGAGACACTGTCCCCACAATGTTTTTTAACGTCCTGTTTTTAAATAGCGTAACAAATGTTTTTTCCACTGTTGGCGAGGAAAACGCAAAACTTCATGATGGGTTTTTCGAAAAAAAAATCATTTTTACACACCTGATTTGCACACAAATTAAACACATTTTCATCATGTCTATATACATTTATTTCGGCGGAAGAAAACAAAAATAACCCTGATTCAGTTTGCGTGTTTCCTTCAGCAGCTGACACAATTAAATGAAACTGAGCTCTCCAGTCAGGAACGTAGCTGGCATCGCTTATCTCCCTCGCACACATAGGCGTCTATGAGAGACGCAACATGAACCGCCAGTTGCTATGTTCCAACTTGCTACCTTCACTGCGTAAACTGGATTACTAGAGAAAAGCCAAAACTCAATAGCTCGATTTATTTAAGTACCAAAACTAATCAACTTTATTCGACTTTCAAAGTGAAATCTAGTGGAAGTCGAAAATTTTTAGGGAGCAAAACCTGAAAAAAAATTGGGCAAAAATTGAATTTGGTTTTCTTTTCAGGATTGTTCGGAATAAGGCAGCAGAAAAAGCGAAACATGCGCACCAGGTGGCGACCAGCGCTGGATCGTCATCGTCACCTGGTGGTCCAGTTTCCGTAATCGCACATGCGCCCTCCACCCAGTTGACTGAGGCCAGATCAGGGGGCTACAGTATAAACGGCATTTTGGGGCTCCAGCACGATCCGAACGGCAACAGCATCAAAAGGAAACGAATCGACGATCACGGTAAGTCAATGATTGCCTAACGGCCGCTCGCTCGATCAAAATAATGTCCCCCAATGTAATTTAACGTAATAACAACGTGCTAACACTAGTGATTATCCAAAACACTTTTTGATTTCCCAGCGGGATCGAACTGAATCGCTACAAGACCGGTTTCGTTCGTATTGTGCTCATCACCCTCCCTGTTTGACATTTAGGAGTTTGCTCTTTTTTTGTTTTTCGTTTTCGGCGGCTCCCCGGGTGCCAATTTCAACCCTGCCCTATGCTAGGGGCGTCGTAGGTCGAATCGTTTTAATAGAATAATCGTTGATTGGGTAACTTGAGATTTAATCGCTTACGTTATTGATAAACAGCACCCTTAAATGCGTGGACTTGTTTGATGTTGATTTTCCGTCAAATTTCGATGATTTTTTTGTTTTATTAAGCCGGCTGGTTCAAATTGGCGTCATTTCTATGGCGGAGTGCAGGAAAAATTGTAAAAACAGTTAATTTCTATTAAGAACTGAGATATTTGCGAAAAACTAGATAAGAAGATCGGCAACATTGTTTTTGACGGTAATCTGCCTCGTTGACATTACGTAAAGGGGTGTGGATTCTTCAGCATCAAAGCTCAAGTGAAAATGAAATAGGTTGGAGTAAGCGGTAACTTCAAAAAGGTTCGTTAAATGTAGGAATGCACTTTTTGAAATGTCAATATTGTCAACAAGGAATTGTGTTGAGTTATTGTCATTGTAACCTCAAATTGATGTAAACATGTTTGTGCACTCTTCGCAAAATGACTTCGATGAAAAAATTCTCACATTCTCCAGGTGAGCCCTCTTAAAAAACTTAGGGCAATGCCGAATCACCCGATAGAATTGACAGTCGTTTATCAGTGCAAACTCTTGTTGAAAGTGAGACACTTTGCATTTGACCCAGTTAAAAATGTAGAATATTTTCAAGTTGATCATAAATAAACACATCAAAAGATCAAGAGCGTAAAATTAAGTAGCGAATAAAAACGAGGAAACATCCTAATCAAACGATGCTCTGGAGCGACGATAAATAATGCCTAATCCCCACTATGAAATTGTCAAAATATAAATTTATAAATCTTTGGGCTGCTGGTCACAAAGCCGGTGCTCACCAAGCGTGAAGCCTGCAGAACGAGCGCGCCATATGAGCGAGTGTGTTCACGACTTGTCCCTCTTAGTTCTTTTGCATTTTTATTGCTGCTTAACATCAAAGGTGACGAATTAGAGCTTGTCGAAACGATTAATGCGAATAAAATTCGCTCAAGCCAGTTTCCCTAATCCAGAAGCGGCAGCCACCACAAATCAAGACAATGCAAAATGAAAGAAACTTCCGCCGCTTCCAAGACGAAGGCCAGTTGGGGCTTTAAGGGCGCTCTGTTTCCGGTCAGTTTTCGGACTTTAAGACCCTCCATAGATCTGAGTTTCGGCCCTTCTTGGAGTTTCCTTCCGGGAGCGGGAATAATACGTTTCTTGCGGGCTGTTTCGAAAAATTCGTCGCGTTCCAAAATAGGACGCGACCAAGATAGATGGGAAATCGCTCGCGAGACCTCCATCCGACAAAGGCGTCTCTATTCGTTCGTCACTAAATGAGCGTCGTGACGTCACGCATCGGCGCCTCGTTTTTCCACTAATTGGACCAGAAATGTGCCGGCTAATTTCGGAGTCGCCGCCTTTTCGCCTAGGCAGTCACCCCAATCTGGATCACAGATTTGGCTTTTTTTCGTTATAGAAACCGTTTTTTTGGAAAATCCTGAATGCTTTGAGTCTGGCATTACAAAATTATCTTATTTCTCCAGGTGAGACTGTTTTGTTCAGAAGCTTCTCAATCAACTGGGGAGCCGTTCAAGTAACTCTTCTGTCTGTTCTTCTCATCAGCTAAGCTCAAGCTGCATGTGCCCCAAAAACACCTTAGTCTGAAATGCCCGCGATAAATCTTCTCCAAATATCGGAATCTCCAAGTCTGCCCCTTTCAGGTCGCTCGCGTCTTCCTTTCCTCCCTTACTCCAAAACAAGGAAAAAAACGCGAAATCCACTTTAACGGCACCGCCGCTCATTTTATGATTACCTCTCATCTGGTCCCATCAGCGTAAATCAAGTTGGCGGCATGGTGTTTTGACCAATGGCAGCGCCCGTTTGCCGCCAAGACGCCGCGACGTTGCTAAGCGACGCCGGATGCCTTCCGTCGCTGCCGCCCCCGCGCTAATATGAACCGAATCTACCGGTTGCTGTCGAAAAGTTTCTCAGCGAAAATGTATGTTCGCTTCTTTGTCCAGCTTGCGTTTTTCTGTTGAAAGTTTCTCATTTTTTCTCTTAACGTGCGTGATGACCGAGACTGTGTCAGTGTGACTGTGTCATGGGCTTTTAAGCGGTGCAGCGCCTTCAGTGTCTTTTCTTTGGTTTTGCTGCAGGAGACTAAAGCCTGTGTCCCATGCATCCGTTTATACGAGGGTACGATGATGCGAAAATGTTTCTATACGACGACGAAGTACGAATTGACAGATCTCCAACCAATAGAAACACTTTTGCATCATCGTATCATCGTATAAACGGATGCATGGGACACAGGCTTATGACACACGCCGGACGCGTTGTTTTAGTCAATGGAATAAATAAAGTCGCGGCACATTTTCTTCTTGTAACGCCAAGTTGTTTCACAAGCCGATTTTCGTAGGAAAGATCCGAATATTTGCACGATTTAATCGGCGTCGGGAATCGTTGAAATCTTTTTCATTTGTGATTATTTCGGGCTGGAAAAAACAGTTTTGCAACATGTGTAGGCAACATTGTCAGTGTGTGCCAACACTGCAGTTATTTTTGGAGTCGCGATTCGATTTTTTTTTATTCAAAATGTCATCAGCAGACAAGTATTTTGAGCACGAACTAATTTTGGTTATAATGACGAGCTTGCAATCCAAAGTCTGCCGGTTTTGAATAAAATTAAACTTTAGTTTAATCAAGGTGTTGCGCCGTTAGGCGCAAGGTGTTATAACGCATTGACGCCCATAGCGGCATCAACACCGAAGTGACACACTCGCAAATCACAAGACGGCGTGTTCGCGTTTCTTCGTTCAGTTCGTTGCAGAACATCGAAACCTTTACGCGAGCATTTCAGGATCACTTCAATGGCAGCCCCACTTTTCCTCTGAGTTCTTTGCAAAGCTTCTGAAATAGAATTGAATGGTTTATTCAACCACTGTGAACCGCTTTTAAAAAGTCTCTGAAATCTTTGATGGTTTCGCGTGTTTGTTGCGTGCAAAATGTTAACGATTCTTTGGTTTCCGATGGCATCACTGGTTCTTTTGCACCAAATCTTGTCTCGGTAATAACAAGGCGTTTTGATTCTCCCCAAGTTTACTTAATTTAAAATGCGCTGTTTCAATTTGTATAATATTTATGGGTTTTTTCGTATAAATGCATTACGAATTAATGTGTAGGGAAAATGTGGCAATCAGAGAGCAACCGGTGCGTGGTTCCTCGCATTTATTCGCCCTTTGAAAATAATTATTAAACTAAACCGGCGAATTGTCCGCCGCAATGGATGGCAAATGAAATTTTGCAAAATATAGATAATAAAACATATCCAGCGGGATAGGTTCAATTAATGTAAAATATAATAGGATTTCATTCCGGGCTCGGTCGATCCCGGCCGGACCCGTTCGCTTTTGTTATCCGACATTACTCGATTAAAATTATAGATATGGTGCGGGTTGCGTTTGTTGCGATTTTGTTTCTATTGCGAGTTGATTTGATTTCGGCCCATTAAGCGATAACCGGCAATTTTCAAAATTGTAATTGGACGTTTCAATTTTTTCAATATTGTTCCAATCAGCTCTATTGAATCTCGAATCATAATCCTCAAAGTTCACTGTCTTGGGCACTGCTTACCTACTTGGGAAAACTTGAATCCTTTACGTCTTACCACTTACCCAGACCAGGACTCCGCCTTTCCCTGTGGGGAAAATTCACAACTTGATTAATTGGCTTTGAGGATGGCAAATTCATTGTCCTTATGAGCGATGAGTTCGGAAATTAATCGTGTTCTGATGACTGGTAACAAGTCGGATTTGTTTGCCGATCCATCTGTTAATCTATCGAATAACACTGTTGCTCGGCCCGTTTGCGCTTAATCTGGACCCATCCGCAATCTACGACGTTTTGATCGATTTAGCGGGATAATCAGCTTTATGAAAGAAAATCGGCGACCCAAAGTGGCCTAAAGCGCGGAAAAGGACAGGGGAAAGATCCAAAGCGGTCCTTCGGCTTTCGGTGCGATAATAACCAGGCCACTGTCCACTTTGCCTAAATCTGTTGCCAGTGACTTTTCGTCGTTTTGTTTTTGTCCCTCAGGACGGCGAGCTTTGTTCCAGCTTTAAATGCCAAAAGGGTAAAGGCGACCCTTACGGGAATTTTTGTCGAGTTTTGCTTGGTGGGATGATTAATCCTCGCTCATTAAGGCAACTGAATTGATTGCTTTTAGGACCTAATTTTAATCAACTAATCAAATCAATCTACCATCCCTTCATCCCTGAAGAGGCTCGATAATGGTGCAATCAAAACGTTGTCCTACTTGATACAATCGTGCACTTAATCAACCAAGCCCAGTTTCAAGTTCAACAAAGTGGCCCGAAAAAAAACGAACGTAAATTCAATAAACCATATCAGTTAATTTTCCGTAAAATGATCGATTCTAATCGGGCCAGTACGATAGCGATTTATGCAAATCCGTGGAAAAAATCGCATCGATTGCGGTGTGGCGTGCATTACAACACGCCGCCACTAAAGGACAGGACAACGTGAAAAAAAACGTGTCAATGCAATCGCAAACGGTTAAAAATAACCCAATAATTTCGCATTTCCAAATCGAAAATCTACCGAAACCGTACAGAAATCAGAGTTGGTTGATACAAAACAATTGATTGCCGAATAGCGCCCCGTATTAGGGAGGTCGCGCTTGCATATTTTCGTGTACGAAAATTGCGGAAATGTGTGTCATGTGAAGACAATTTTTAGCGTTTTTTGCAAATTTGGTTGCAAGTATTTAGAAATTTAATAATCGCGGCAAGTCATCACGCAACTGAACTGGCGTTTTTTTGGGGCTTGATCCCAACTTGGTTAGTTTTTAATCAATTGTTCCGTTTCTTATTTTACTCTATAACTCTCTGATAGTTGAAAAAAATGTGGAGTCGAACGTAATGAAGGACCCGATATAACATCTTATAAAGAGTTTTTTAGCATACGAAAATTCTAAATGAAAGGGGATTTTCGCGGCTTTAGCGGACAAATAATTTTTGGAATAAGAAAAATATACTGCTTTCGGCAGGACTTGAACCTGCCACCTTCATTTGATTAATTTTCAATTGAAAACGATATAACATCTGATGAAGAGTTTTTTAGCATACGAAAATTCGAAATGAAAGGAATTTTTCGCGGCTTTACCGGACAAATAATTTTTGGAATAAGAAAAATTTACTGCTTTCGGCAGGACTTGAACCTGCGACCTTCATTTGATTCAYTTTCAATTGAAAACGATATAACATCWRATGAAGAGTTTTTTMGCA